GTCCTGACTTGTAACATTCAGCATTTTAAGTTGGTCCGACTTGGCAGAATTTCTTTTACACCAAGATGTATGTTATAGAAAAGTGTAATTTCATTTCTATACTAAGGTTTTAACAAGCACATAGTAAGATTCAAAATCCCCAAAGAAAAATGTGTGGGAGAGTTCCCCACTCTCCCCACAGAGGCCCCCCTCTCCTCCTTGGCTCTGAAAAGACGCCTGCTCAGCAAACTTATCACCAGAGCCTTTGCCATAAAACATACCCGCAGAGCTTCCCGCCAGGGCCTGGCCACGTTGCCCTCACTTGTCACGTGGTTTTACAGCAGCAGCAACTACCCTTCTGTTTGTGTTATTTATTTTTTTTTTTTAGCAATTTTTTGGTTTTGTTTTTTTATTGAGGTATAATTCACAGGACCCACAGCATCTAAGAAAAGCTTGCTCACTCCCTCTCCCTTCCCAGGTAGTTCATAGAGCTTCACCCACTACCAGTTTGTTTTCTGAAGTACCTCATTGTGGAAGTGAATAAAGTTGGAAGTAAAGGGAGGCTGATTTAGAAGCAGAAGCCCTTTCTTCACATAAAATCTTTTCCACCCTCACCTGAAAACCCAAACGAAATAACCCGCCACCTTCAATGAGGCCGACTACCCCTCAGGACTGAAGGGGCTGGGCCAGGCGTGCCATCACCGCCAGGGTGCCTGGCCCCGGGGATGGCATCAGCAGCGGCTGTGGGATGCGCGAGGGGCATGTGAGCAGAATCAGGTCTGCAGGTGCCCAGTTCCTTCAGAGCTGCCCTGCCCTCCTTGTGCCCCCTCCCGTGTGTACCCACACAGGAGCAGCAGCCACCACAGGAGTCCAGACTTTCTATGAACTTCCAGAACATCATTTCACATTTGCTCTGAATAAGCCTGGTGCAGCTACTTGAACGTTCTAACTTTCTTTTGATTGTGCATTTATTTCACTCAACAGAAGCCTGGCTCCCTGCATGGTCTAACTGGGCACTGACTTTTCTGACAGAGGCCTGACTCCACAGTTTCTATCTTCAAATGAACCAAATGTTTCCAACCAGTTTGTCAACTTTCACCTAAAATCTCAACTAAATGATTTCACTGTTGCTTATAAACTCCCTCAGATTATCTGTGTGATCTGCCCACGTACCTCTCCCTTCTCTCCTGGTCATGTCAGATTCAAGCCTTCTGGTCAAAAGACACTGTCCTACAAAGCAGCTGGAACATCTTCACAGGAGAGAAAATTCTTCCTTGAACCAAAACCTCAGTGATTCCTAGTCCCAATTCTGCCTTGTGGCACCACACAAACTACCTCGTGTTCAGTCTGAATTATTACTTACCTTTAGACGTTCGATGGCTTCTTCTCCTCCAGGTGTTGACATGATCCTTTCCTGAATACTGCTCACTGATGTTAAGCCACCTGACTATTGAGTGAGCAGGAAGATGGAGATGAACTGAGGGACCCCATGGATGCTGTGGAAAAATTGCCAGGGCGTTGATTCTCAGAGGCTAGCAAGTACCTATGTTTATTGTTCTGAAAATCTTTCAGATCTGAGAGATAGAAAGAAGGGAAGGCAGAAAAAGTGGAAAAGAGGGAAAGGAGCAGAGGGGAAAAAAAGACAGGAAGGAACACCAGTGTAAGAAAGGACAGCATTAAAGCGCCAAGACAAAGACCAGTCATCATAACGACAGATTGTAACCGTTCTAGATGGCAGTTCTAAAACATGTCTGTCTTTAATGCTGGACCCCAGAGGCTGAGAATCACTTCTAAATTTGGAGTCTAAAAAATCCCAGTCTGGGTTAACATCTGCAGGAGGTTAAGGCCACTCTTAGGCACACTCCCTAAGCGGTCACATGGCATTTCTTTATTTCTTTTATGGCTCAAATCTACATTGCTTTCAGATTTACACCACTCTTAAATCGCCACTAGTTTGTAATACTTAGAGGGGGAAATGATGATAATACATTATCAGTGCGGTCTATCGTTTTATGGAATTCAGTAAAATTACCCGAGAAAAGGTTACAATTTGAAACAAGAATCTCAGCACTTAATAATAATCCCCTTTGTATAACCATGTTTCAATATGCTAAAATGGAATTTTAAAATATGCCTTTAAAATAAAGGAGTGTGTGTGCATGCATATATATATATATATATATATATATATATATATATATCTCACAGAAATTTGATATATATGCATCACAGGAATTTAATGTAAATCTCGGTTAAGAACTCAGGGCCTACTGTTTACCTCAGCAGGGAAGAACAACTGCAAATTAATGAATTTTGTGTAGTTTATGTTCATCTATCAGAGCAAGCAAATATTTTGGCTGATTATCTGCTAATTTAAATAAGGCTCTTGCTTTGCCTAATAGTATGACCAGGAGACTGGTGGTAAGCCTAGTTCCCAGTACAAATGCAAGTCTTGGGAATATACTTTCATTTATGAAGGTTCTTAGTAGAACTGCAAATTTTGTTTTTATTTGGTGAGAAGAGGCACAAGCAATGAAATTTATTGTTTTGCTATCTGTGCTTTCCATCATTAGTCATCCTGCCCAGACAAGACACAGCCATAGCTGTTGCTACAGACCTTTAAAATTAGCTCATTCTTACTATTTGAGAAATTTTACATTGCTTATAACTCGTATCAAAACTAAGTAAGTTTTCCTTAAACGACATATAAGTCAATATAAATAGCTGGGAAAATGTTAGCTCTTTCTAGGTCTATTTATCTCTACTTAGAGTCAGTTCTTGAAGCCCCTTAAAATCAGTGGTTGCTTCAAGACAGTTTGAAAACCACCATCTGCAAATACAGAACATAGGAAAACAAGCAAGTTTTAAAAGGGTGATGGGAACTGGAGCAAATAATTAGCCACCAGGTGATGCCAGCAAGGTGGGGAAAAGTAGGATGGATGGAGTTCAGAAGGTCCAATGGACACATGCAAGTCCTAAAAGGGATCAAGAGCAGTGGATCAAAAATGAAATTCTGAAATAGCCACGGCTGTTTTCCTGCTTGAACACAGCATTGAGGCTCAGTCATGCACGCTTAGGGAGACACCGCAACTGCTCGGAGAAGAGCCAGGCGGCAGGCGGCAGCACCAGCTGAAGCGCAGACGCAGAGCAAGAGGGTGCCTGTCCCCACCAGCTTCGGTCAGCTTTGGAAATCTCAGACAGAGCCCTTCCAGTCCAAGAGTCCCTCTGCAGCCCAAGGTGACAGTGTCCTCGAGGCCCAGGCTCGTCACAACAGCCGTGGCTGTTTCTCCTACGTGTCTCCTCACATGCCCTGTGAACTACCGACTACAGAAGCTGACACAGCAGTAAAAATCCCAAACTTCACCCATAAAAATCAAGATTTTTCACTGAAGATAATTCCTTGATGAACAATCTTAAAGGGTAAGAAATGATTTCCTCATCAACTTCATCTATATAGAAGAAATAATGAGGTGCGATCCTTTATAAAAGGTCCTCATTTCAAGAACACATTTGAGACATCCAAGTTTTTAAAATTTAATTTGTATTTTATAGAAAGGGGGGGATATTTACCTAACCATAAAATAAAATGAGGCCCCAAGTGCAGAGGAAACCAATTTGGCATAAGCAGGGCTGAGTGCTAAGGAAACAGTCAGAGTTATTCAATCATGGATTGTGTGGCTAGCTGGAAGTGGTTGGTTGGTTGTTTTAAGATTTATTTTACTTATTTATGCATACAAGAGCTGGATGTAGGCCAGGGGTGTGGGGTAGGGGTGAGAAGATTCACCAGAGACAGAGTCGGGAGCAAAACAGGTGGATCTACTGAAATACACTGCTGAGGGGAGCATCAGGCAAGACAGAAGAGGTCTGCTGCGCCATATGGGTTAGCTCCCTGGCTGGGGATCAAACTCATGCTGCAGTGGCTGTCGATAGCTTCATAGTGCTGGGACTTAACCCCTTGCGCCACCAGGGAGGCCCCTGGAAGTGGTTGTTTTTAATTATATATATATATATTAAGGCTCAGAAATTACATAGTTAATTTAAAAAGGATTTTTCTATTAAATGTTCATACCCTGAAGAATCTCACAGGGAGGGAAAAAAAAAGGTGTAATAATGATTAAATGATTCAATGCAAGGGCTCTGAATTATACTAACCAATCTGACCCAATCTCAGCTGCAGTGTTCCTAGTGGTAAAATGGGCCTATTGGGACCTTTTCAGTCAGTGACAGGGTTAAAGGAGATAATATGCCCCAGTGCCCAGACCAGGGCCTGGTGTGGACTGCATGCCCAAGAACATGAGCTGCCATAAACACTCCGATCATCACCCATGACTTTGGATTCAGTTTAGTCATATAAATGGAAAAACTGAAGAGTAGAAACAGCCAGAGACTTTCAGCCTCTCAATTTTATTCAAGCCACAAACTGAAATTCAGCCATGATTGCTGTGCTAAGTGGAAAAGGGCAAAAATAGGATCATTTCTGAATCTACAATATGCTCTGTCTGGGATTTCTCTGTCAGGATTGCTGGCATGCAAAGCTCATTTTAAGGCTGATCCAGCAGAGGCAGGTTAGCAAGTCAGAGTACTGGAAATAACCAATGCATGAAATACACACATTTGCCTCCACTTCCAGAGTAATCATCGATCAATGGATCAACTGGAGGTAAGCAGGAGGAAAACACAAGAAGGGTCAGAGTTCAGATTCAGCAGTGACACAGAGAGGGAACAGGGCAGTATTTGGCATTTGGGAAGATGAAAAAATTAACACAGAAAATATCATTTTACAAAATGTATTCATGGAAACTGAGATGCTCATCAGTAAGAATTAAACTAGAAAAGGTCTTGAAAATCTTATTAGAATGCTAAACGATATATTTTACAATAAAAAATCAAAATGCTTTATTAAATAAATCCATACATTATCCTATCTGAATAATGTAGTGTACTCTAGTTAATTGAATTTCTCAGTAGACATTACATAGGCAAATCACTAAATGTTGAAAAAAAAGATTCATTTAAAGACAACACTGTAAAACAATGCTTTCTGGAGGTCTAATTTTTGAACTTGTTCAGAGTTGTATATTTTCCCCTTCATGTGTTCATAGGAAGTGGGTTAGGGGCTGCAGCCATTTGGCAGGAGGGAAGCCACCCTGACCTTATCTGAAAGGAGACTGGAGCGGTGGGTGTCTTGCCTATGTATTGCTGTCATTGCATTAATCCAGAGAAACCCATGAGCGAAAACCAAAATTATAAGAAACATTTTTATGAAGTGATTAAATTTCTCACTAAGTTAACATTTCAAATAAACTTCAAATAGAAATGTAATAAAAACACAAGCAATGACATATTCATGTTTTAAAGTTTCATGGGTTCAAATGAATAACTGGCAATTACTACATAAAGAAATTCTGAGATTATTTTCTTTGGCTTCTAAGAAGAGGATAAACAAAAAACAAAAACACCCTCCTCGACCACCTAGCTTCACTGAGTTCCTTAAATCTAAATGTGCGAATCTGCTGAGCAGAGCAGTGGAATCTGTGCTGACCCTCTGGTCACTTACTGTCAATAATGTCGCCCAGGCCCTGAGCACGGAGAAGGTCCTTCAGGCGTGTCACCTCCTCCTTTAATTCACGAACCAGCTTGGCGTTGGGGTCCTCGTTGATAACAGCATTGCATTTGATTTGTTTTGCACGATCTGCGTATCTAGATCCAAAAAAAATTCATTCTCTGACCCATCACCTAGATGCTTCTCTCACAACTAATATTCCATTATTTCTAAATCAAACAGCTTGAACAGTTACACATTTTATGAGTCTTAAGAGTAATATAATTGTTGAAAGCTTTGTAGTATTTTCTAAATCTGAGAAAAAAGGCTCAGATGACTTACTGATTTGCAGACACAGAAACTACTCATTTACAGAAATACTCCAGGGAACTTTCTGGCAGTTATCTTTTTACTGTTACATATATTCATAATTGT